TCTTTGCCATGCCATTTGTTGTTTTCTTTATGAAAAGCTCTGGGTTTCCTCCATTTTTAGGACGCAGATGGAGGAGAGTCATTGATGAAGAAGATATACCATGGCCAGTTCGTGGAGGTGGCCTTAATCCATCAGCATGCCCCACTTTTCCTCCATATGCACCAAGGGATGCTTGTCCAAGACCCACTTGGTAACTTTTACTTGTGCACTCTTATGGAATTGATCTCACATCAACCAAAACACGTTCTTTTCAGCCCGAAAGACTGTTAAGCTGATATGGGCAATTCGATCCGATTAAATCTTGAAATGGGTAAATGGTTCCAATATTGGTCTGCTTAGATTAACTAAAAAAAACTACTCCATAGCATAGAGATGATTATATTAAGGAACCAATCAACCAAGAGGTCAAGTTTGGGGTTATAGGCCCAGGAAAGGCTTTAGACTCTAATAGATTCTTATTGTAATGCCAGGGTATGTAGTGGGTGCCACCGCGAAATTGGATATGGAAACTATCTGGGATGCATGGGGAGTTTCTTCCATCCAGAATGTTTTCGTTGTCATGCATGTGATTCTCCTATCACAGACCAGGAGGTATGTGTTTCTATAGGGCCCTTTGGTAGTTTGCTTTCAGTTTTAGAATTTTAAAACTGTTACGTTACACAGAGTAATTTGTAGAATAAACAAAAAAACAGGGAAACAATTGAAAAGCATCTTTTTTTCTGGTTTTCATTAACATCGTCTCTAGTTTAAAGAAACGGAAAGTGAAAAAACGATAATGAAACATACCCGTAGTTGATAGTAGTTTGCTTTCAAAACCTTTTTTTTTAAAATTGAAAATAAGCTTCTGGAACTCTTCACTTTCCCAGTTCTGATTTGGATTCTTCTTTGGTTCAAGTATTCACTCTCAGGGAATAATTCATACCACAAGTCTTGCTTCAAAGAACTGAGTCACCCCAGATGTGAAGTCTGCAATCAATTTGTAAGAAAGTGTTATTCTTTTCAACTCGTATTTGTCTTCCCAAACAGGCCCTCTCATTGTTTTAACATTGAATCCATATGGATGTTCTCAGATCCCGGCAAACAGGTCTGGCCTGGTCGAGTACAGATGCCACCCCTTTTGGTCTAATAAATATTGTCCTTCGCATGAGCATGATAACACTTCACGTTGCTGTAGTTGCGAACGACTTGAGGTAGGAAAAAAAATCTTGACGAATATTTTTAAATCTATATTCCAACAAGCCCAGAAATGTATGAGAGCTATATTAGATTTTAGCTTTTATATGCAATAAAGTTCGCGCACGTTCTTTGTGATGTAATAATTGTTTGTGTTGAATTTACCCTTTTTTTTTGTTGAAGTCATGGAATGCAAGATATGTGTCGCTTGGAGATGGTAGGAGCTTATGCCTTGAGTGCTTGGAGTCTGCAATCATGGACACAGGGGAATGCCAGCCCCTTTACCAGTCCATCAGGCACTTTTATGAGGGTTTGAATATGAGAATAGATCAGCAAATTCCTATGATCCTTGTTGAAAGACAGGCCCTCAATGAGGCTATCGAAGGCGAGAGAAATGTACGGATGATCTCTCTACCTTTGTTTACCTTCAAGCCTATTTGCTAATAGGGACTATGCTACAATGACACCACGTTTGACACGATAGACAACACCAATGTGTTTGACAGACATGCACATGTACTCGCAATTGTCTTTGTCTGTGTGCATGTCTGTGTCACCCCCGGAGTCATCCATGGTGTCAAACCCTGGTGAAAGAGAAAGTACAGATTCTTTTTGTATGAGGCATTATAAGCCATTACACGATTATGGATGCCAAACAACTTATTTGTTGTGAAACAGTTAATGACTTTTTGAGAATTGTATTATAGGGTTCCCTCCATATGCCGGAAACCAGAGGACTATGCCTGTCTGAGGAGCAGACAGTTAGCAGTGTATGTCTCTTATTTTCGTCATATCGATTAGTTACCCTTTTTCAAGCTTGACACACACTAATATACATTTCATATAACAATCTGCAGATACAGAAGAAGCCGAAAATGGGAGGCCGTGTATTTGTAGGAATGAGAACACAGCCCCTAAGACTAACTCGAATATGTGATGTTACAGCTATATTGATCTTATATGGTCTCCCAAGGTACATCCCCCCCCTCCAAACCTTATATACATGCATCATCATCATCCCCTTAATCCCATCTTCATTAGTTTCAGTGACATGAAACCTAAAGTGTCTATTAATTGTCTAAAATCACTATAAAAATCCAAATGGTCATATGCTCATACTCGTATCCTTCATGATGTAGGTTACTAACAGGTGCCATTCTTGCACATGAGTTAATGCATGCATGGTTACGGCTGAGAGGTAAACACATGCTTGAATCTTAACTACTGCGGAGTATATGTTTAGATTTTATACTAGATTTGATCCAAATTACTTGTTTGGGAATTCAAAGAATTTGCAAATTCAAGCTCAACTTTTCTTTAATTTAAAACTTGCAATCAAAGAGTAAGTCTCTCCTTATGCAACAACAATTCCATACATATCAACTCGCTTCCGGCACTGTCCTTGTCGACTTCAAAATTCGAACTCTAGAATTAAAATTCTACGATTTCTGAAATGATAGGATTTCTAACATTAGAAGTAAAAAATTTAGGATTTCAAATGAATTCTAGTTCCCAAACACTGCCTGAAGTTGTTGCGAAACGGACACTAAGTTGTTTTTGTTGTGGTAACCTTGAGAAAGTTCACTGGAATTCGCAGGCTACCGGAATCTGACCATGGAAGTGGAAGAAGGGATATGCCAAGTGCTTTCCCTCATGTGGCTCGAGTCGGAGGTGACCCACGGATACAACAGAAACATGCCACCACCACCACCACCATCATCATCATCATCAAAGAGGGGCAGAAAATCTGCTTCTGAAAACAAGCTGGGAGAGTTCTTCAAGCATCAGATATTGCACGACTCTTCTCCAGCATATGGAGAAGGCTTCCGGGCAGCTCAAGCAGCTGTGAACAAGTACGGCCTGAGGTGCACGCTGGACCATATTCGCATGACCGGCACTCTCCCCATCTAAAATTTTTAAACAGATTTATGATGAATCCTTCCAAGCTTCTCTGTCTTCCAATGCAGATGATGTTGAAGAGCAATGCAGGGAAAAATGAGAGACAACATAAGCATGAGGATGTTTCTTTTTTCCACTACCTAGTTATGTGTCTGGTTTTCTATTATGTGCTACTAATCATGTTCAAGGAGAGATGTCATTTTTACTCATCTAGACTGTTATGAGCAGTATAAATAAGGGTTTAGCTTCTTCAATAAAATATGTGATTCCAGGCTTATTAATTGCTTATATAATTTGTGCCGTTTAGATTGTGTTTCGTTCGCCTGATCTGATCTGATTTTTTGAAAATATGGTCTGATCTGATCAAATTGCAGTTATAATTGAAGCTGTTTCTGATCTGATTTAGTCTGATCCGATATGATTATAATAATAATAAGTAATAAGTAGAAAAAATAAGTTGAACAGAATGCTGACTTGGTGTTTAAGAGGGGATAGTGAGGATGAAATTGTTTTGCCTCTAACATAAATATTTCATCCATTCGTCCCAAACTAAATTTTTGAGTTACTATTTTGACTTCACAATAACTTTTATTTACTAGTGTGATTTTTATTGATTATTTGATAAAATAAAAAAAAATTATATTTGGTAATTTTAAATTCGAGGTTTTCATATTAAATATTGTGTTTGTGATCCTTCATTTATAAATACCTTTCTACAAAAATGATTATTTGTAAACCTTTCATAAGCCAAACACTTTGATACTATGTTAAGAAATTAAATAAATTAATGACGTGTTTGGTTGAGGGGAGATATGTTCCTAGAAAAAATATTTTCTAAAGGAAGATGATTCCAAGGAAAATTATTTTCTGATCATATTTTTCATTGTATTTAAAAATTAATATTTTAAAGATATTTTGAGACAACTTAATACTCCAGTAAAGAAAATGTAAATTAAGTTAATCCTTCGAGAATAAAATTTTTCTTCTAAAATTTTGAGTTAACACGTTAATTGATGCAAGAGCAATGACCCCGTTCATTAATTTTTGCGTCAGTTAACGTGTTAACTTACTCCCTCCGTCCTAAAATGATCTTTTCAGTCACTATTCAAATGATCAAATTTTAATCATTTTCTTTATCTATTTTCATTAATGTAGTTTTAAAATAAATAACTTTTATTTCTTATTTTTATACATATAATCAAATAAATTGAATTGAAAATAATTTTAGTCAAATTTCGTAAACCAAAATGGGAAGATCATTATATATATAGAAGGGAGGGAGTACAATTCTAAAAGATAAATTTTGCATAAAAAACTAAATTGATTCACATTTTTAACTATAGAGACTAATATGACTAAATTGAATTTATAGAAACTGGATTGAGTCATAAATCTTAAAACAATTAAAAAAAAGAGTCAGTCAACGATCAAACGGTATTTAATGTAGAAATTTGATCTTTTACGCAATAGTCATCATCCATTTTTTACTCGCTACCTTAGCTTTTTTGTCCAAGTCTTTCAATCTGAGTCATTCACCGCTATTAAAAAAAAAAACTTACGGGGTAAAAAAGAGGGCGGTAACTCACCGCTCGGTCGTCATCGTCGTGGTCAAACAGGGATCCTTTCTTTTCTACTACCTCCGTCCTAGAGTATTTGTCAACTTTCATTTTTGCACACCATCCAATGTACTTCCTTTAATCCATTTTATCTTGTAATTTGTATATTAAAAAATTATAGAAATTATATATTAATAATCTATATGTTAAGACAAATCAAACAAGATCACACATGACTATATTTAGGCTTATACATTGAGAGAATTTGATGAGTCAAAGTGATTAGATGAACAGTTCTAAAAGTCAAAAGTGGACAAAGAGAGTGGAACAGAGGTAGTATATACATACAGCCTCGGTATTTGAATTATTATACGTTTGTCTGAAATCATATTAAAGTTAATTAATATATGTATTTAGAAAAGAAATTGTGCTTTTGGTTGAATGAGATATATAGTCGTTAACTAAAGATGGAAAAGAAATCAAAGAGGAAATAACCCAGAAACGGCCGATGACTCAGAGAACACTTTCTCTCCCTTGGATTTGCCATGCCACCGCCACCGGAGGTGTATAAATACAGACACAATTAAGTCCAAACAGAACCTTATTATTATTATTATTAATTATTCCAAAGCTAATTAGTCAATTAATTAATTAATCAAGTCCTTTCATCTAATACAAAACAAAACAATGGAGAATGGAAAGAGTGATGAGATCCCTGCAGGGAGAAAACCTCTTCTTCCTTCTTTTTCTTCTTCTTCTTCTTCTTCTTCCATTATCACAGACCTGTTTGGCCCTGAAAACCCATCAAAGCTTCCTCCAAGTGATTCCTGCTCTAATAATGGCTTATTCTTTTCATCATCTCTCATCATTAGTAGTACCCAACGGCGGCAACGGGAGCATGACGATTATCATCAGTCCAGGAGAAGCGAAGATGAACTGAGTCGGGACGTTAATAACCCGAGTTACGCCACCCGTGGAGATTGGTGGCTTGGTAAGTAGTGTCTCAAATCATTTCCATCTTCTCGTTTTTCTTATTGCAAAAAAAAAATGTTACGGAGTGTATATATATATATCACCAAGGTTTCCATGACATTAGATTCCAATGTCATGGGATGACCTATATATATATATATATATATATATATATATGTTTTACTCCACACTTTTATTATTTTTGTTTGTAGACATTGTCAATATACAATACTAAGTTGCAAGCGTTTCATAATGTCAACTTTTCTAAAAAGAGATTAAACGTATGATTATTTTTCATATTTGTAAATATTTTATGTTTTGGTACGTCTTATTAAGATAAATTTCTTGTTCCATTCGTTTATAAAAAACAGTTCCTCTTTTGACATTTGCAGGGTTTATTTTTGTAATTTGACTTTCCAATTAAATCATTTGCGTAAAAAAGAAAAAGGGTGGCAAATCACTTAAATAACGCGTTTTCTGACACTAATTTTGCGGCATAATTTCCAACACTAATTTTGAGACATTATTAAGTACTCTGTTAATTATTGTGTGTTTTTCTCTTCTTCTTTTTGCATTGCAGGATCACTATACTATTGATGCCACTTATATGGATGCACAACACAAACATGGAGCTAGCTAGGGAGGCCTTCATCAATAAGGAGAATTTTATTAACATATATATACTCCCAGCCAGCAGAAAAGTGTTGTCTTGTAATAATATAACTCGGATACAAAAACGAAGAATAAATATATGCATGGTTATATCCAGTGTTTATGTCTAATATAAATATATGCATGGTTATATCCAGTGTTTATTGGATAGCACGTTAATCAAGAACAAGTACTTCAAAATCCAGTCTCAACCATCCCGTGAATCTCTATTTATAGAGTCCAAAATCCAGAATAAGACATGAATGTTTGCATAAGGATGCAAATCTTCGCACGAAGAGTTAGAATTGAAAGTCCGTGAATGTTTGCTTAAGGAGGCAGACGTTCGCACGAAGAGGTTCTTGCGATTTTGGGCCAAATTGACGTTTATCTGTACGTCCGAATCTTTAAACGCTTTGGACTTTGTTCACGAAAATTATAATGATTTTAATAAAGCAATAATGTCCAAAATAAATTAAAGCAATAATATCCAGCTCGAACTCGGCTAGAGGCTCTGCCCCTGCCCCTGAGACCCTGCAGCAGGGGGCTGTCGCCTCTTGGACCCTGCTACCGGGAGCTGCCGCTCATGAACTCCCGTTATGAATTTATAATATCATTGAATGAGTGTGCAATCTGTACCCCCTAACTTGTTTGATAACGTCAATTCAAATTCTTGTATGATCTAAATAACTCAATTAGACAAAGTAGTCACCATGACACTAATGTAAACCCAACAATTCATTGGTAACATATAGTACAGTATCTTTGAACATCTAAAAAAAATTCAAACTTAAATCAAAGGAGTAATACTACAATGGGTCAATCCAAATGCCCCAACATAAAACATCTGGCACATAGAGTTAATGATACAATCGCCAAACAATATTTGAAATTAACGTTTTAGATAAGTTTTTCAATCAAAACACCAACAATTAAAAGTGAGTGTTACAAAATGAAGCAAGAATTAACGACTGAAAAAAGCATATAAAATGAAGCCCACATAAACGAAGAGTCCAAAGGAAACCAGGAGAAAGAGAGGGACGACAGCTTCATAGCTATGGCGGCTCCCACAGGCTAGGGTTCCCAGTTTGATCTGAACCAGAGACATCAATGCCAGCACCAAATACACGCACCCGGACACCGAACCCGCGGCGCAAACCACGTACCCGACCCGGACGACAGTCCTGTTCACGCGCGCCAAATCCACGGAGAAGACGGAGTGGTGGTTGCCGGATCTGGGCCATCGGAGGGCCTGCTTGAGGCAGAGGGAGACGAGGCTGGAGAAGAGGAAGGAGGCGAAGGAGATGACGTGGAACGACACCATGTTCTCCGCGATTTTCGGCCCGGCCTGGCAATTCGGGTCGTCGGTGAGCCGGTTGTTCGGATCTCGGGGGTTCCAGGCCAGCCCGACGAACACGGCGAATGTGAACAGGGAGTTGACGTGTATTATTCCGTCCAGCGCCGTTATGTGGATCGGGCTGCCTACCTCCGAGTCGGAATCTCCGGTCATTTTCGAGCGGAGGAGGATGAGAACCGGCCAGATCCGTGACGAACGCTGCAAGTATGTATTTCCTTTCTCTCTAGGCTTTTCAAGCACCACACAGTAAAATTTGAAGGTTTAACTTTTAAAGATGGGGCTGATAGCTCACCTATCACTCTGTGTTTTTTTAACTTATACTCTCTCCGTTCCACAAAACCCTTCCGATTTTGACTTTGGGGAAAAATAAGAAAAGTGTAATTTTGGCTGACTTTCCAATTTTGCTCTTGATATGATGAGAAAAAGTAAGATGTGATAGTTTGATTAATAGTGAAAAAGTATGATGTGATAGGTAGGGTATGAAAAAGTAGGGGTAAAAGTGGTTGTTTAATAGAAAGTAAAAATGTTTTGTGGAAAGCAAAAAAAAACGAAAAAGGAAGGGTTTTGTGGAACGGAAGGAGTAAAATAATGCTATATTTTTAGTACTCCGTAGTTCATTAGAAATAAAATACATTCAAATATAAATAATATTTTAATTTAAAATCCAAAAATATAAATTTATGAATTTTATGAATTATATGTCTGTGACTCTAGCTAGTATTTTCGAAATTTATTTCTCTCTTTGATTATTTTATCTTTTTAAGAAAAAAGCGCATTGATCCATATTTTTCAAAGTACATTGGATACTAAATCTCATTTCTTATTTTTCATTTGTTTTTTAGTATTTTCTTTTTTTCTCTTTTTGTTTTTTTTTGTCTCTAGATATTTTTAATTTTTTTAAAATTATTTTTATAAAATCTTAGAAATCCAAAATTATTTAAATTTGGAATAAAAAATAAACAAAATGAAAAAATCTTAACATATGTTGCATCTATCCCAAATTTTAAAAAATAATTTTTTTTCTTTTCAAAATAAAAAGTATCCAAAAACTTGTTGTTGGAATTTTGGTGGGCTGAGAAAGAAGGGATCTATTTATTTTAAAAATTAAAAGAAATAACATTCTTAAGTATCCCAGTTATGAATATTTTTTTAGACGTATAGAAAAAAAACCTTATTAGCACATTCAATTCAATGGCTACATTTTGCTTTTTTTAAAATTATTCTTGTGTTTTTATTCATTTGATTTTGGAGTTTGAAACATGACCATAGTTTCACGCGGTTAAGTATGATTTCTTTCACTTTTCCACTTTTTTTACTCTGAATTTTTAAACCACTTGAAATTTGGGAGAAACTTCCCCCTCGTTCTCACCTTATGTTTGACTTCTTAAAATTTAAATTTTGATTGGAGCTTTAATTTACATCCACAAATTAAAAAAAAGATAAACTTCATCCTCTAGAGTCTCTCAGATCCGACCAGACGATACTAATAAGAAATAAATTAGACTTTGATCGTAAATTAATATCAGAAAATAAAGCCTACATCTGATATTTGTAGAGATTTTATGTTTAACATACTTGTCTCCTAGCGCTAGAGCGCCAAATCGATCAGTCAGGTCGGGTTCAGGTTCGGTCGCTTTGGATTCGGGTTACTTTGGATTCGGATAAATTTGGGTTTGGATTGAAAACTACTCCCTCCGTCCCATAAAGTGTTACCCATTTTGACTAAAGTTGAACTTAAGGGAGGGATAAATTTGTGTTGACTTTCCAAAAATACCCTTGATGTGATGGGTAAAAGTAGGATGTGATGTGTAGATTATTAGGAAAAAGGTATGATGTGATAGGTAGGGTTTGAAAAAGTAAGGGTAAAACTAGTTTTTTAATAGAAATGGGTAAGTGATTATGGGACGCAATTTTTTTGAAACGTGTAAATCTTTTTAGGACGGAGGGAGTAAATGTTAATGACCTAATGTCATCGGATTCGGGTCGACCCAACGGGTTACGTGTTTCATTTCTTTATTCCTTTTGAAGAAGAAAATAACCAAGTCTAGCTAAGAGTTGCCCGCTAACCGGTTTTATAACTAAAATTGGCAAACAAGTAAGAAACCCTAAAAATAAAAAAACCCCAAAATAACAAAAGTATAATTTTAATGTACTAAACAATAGAATTTCAGGTCGAAGATGGACCCTGATGGTCGTTGATCGATCAGACCCCTATGCGTCTCGCTGAGAGCTTTCCTAAAAGCGTTAGCCCGTTATAATCGGACACCTGTAGCCAAAGTTATGGCCCAAATACTATGGCGACCCAAAATGCTTCAATTTCCTCTCGCTCTTGCGCTTATCCTGCATTTCATGGTAAAGAATCGCCACATTAGTTAGATCTGACAGTTCAGCCTCGTCTGTATCACTCGCTCCTGCATCACCCTTCCCGTTGAAATGGGGCATGTATACATTTCTTCGGTGAGTGATGCTTACATAGTCCCAAAGTTTACACTTAAAATATGAGTCTTCTCACATTTTCATGGCTTGCATGTGAAATTTTTTCTTTTTACAAAAGTTTACTTCTTCTAATTTGTAGGTCTACGGAAAAATTTGCCTTGTTGGGTGTATGCAACTAAAACCTAACTGCGTCACTAGGATGTGTGAGGAGCTCAGGTCCTTTCCGAGCCTGACCACATTTTTGACGTGAGTTTCCGGAGCTTGTCTGTCGAGCATGTCCATATCTCGGGATTCTTTCGTGGGCCAACACATAGTAATACCGGTCATTGGAAAACCAGATAACAAAACAAAACAAGTGTTTCTATATATGTAAATGTATGTGATGTGTTTTCAAAGTGAAGGGGGGAATAGGCTCCAAGTCTCACATCCATGTACAATGTAGATATGTATAAGATATGAAGATACATGTAGTAGTAGTAGTAGTGTATAGCCATATTTATGAAAGTAAAAGATATGGAAATGGAAGGTTTGCTTTGCTTTGCTTGCTTAAAGGACTGTTTTTGTCTCTCTTTGGCAACTTCTTGCTCGGCTTTATTCATCTGCCAAACGGCACGGGCTTCATCTGGCATTGTCACCCATCCATCCATCCACCTTGCTATACTAATTTAATGCTCCATTTTGTACGAGGTATTCTTTTTCTTTTTTCCTTTTCAATGGAATTATATTGGGCTTTGTAACTTGAATGGTTAAGATTATTACACTAGTTACTGTTATGTGGTGATCCTAAAGTTCTAATGTTGAGTTAATCTCCTTCTTAATCGTGTGGTCTTTAGAGTCCGGATGATATGATTTTCTCTATCAAATGCCACTTTGGAAACAAGCATTGAGTCTGGCCCAAATTCTAAAGTCCATCCCCTTCATATAATTGGACTCAATTGACTTTGTGTGGACCTAAATTATTCGGTGTTGTCTTGGACATAACAACAATAGAATGTGGAATTGTGTCATTTGTATGGGTGTGCATATTGGTGGAGAAGAATGAAATACATTATAGGAAAACTTTTTTAAATTTAAATACATAAACATCTTTTGGTGTTGTTTGATTGAACACCAAAATGCACTCCACCTCTAATTTTAAGTAAAGTTTTATGCGATTCTAAGGTTCATACTCGTTTTATTAATTTAATACGTATCACTTAAAAGTTAGACTTTTTACAAAAAAACCACTTGTAAACTCATAAAAAAATATGAAAAAATCTAAATTTCTTATGTCACTTTAGGGCCATTAACAACTCCAGGCTCTACTACATTTACAAAGAGGTTTCACGGACACAAAATAATACTCCCTCCGTCCGGAAATGTTCTTCCCGTGTTGACTTGACACGCTTATTAAGGAATAGTAAAAAAAATGCAAAATTTTCAAAAATGCACATACTATAAACTTTTAAATCTCCTTTTATTATTAAAAAAGTATTAAAAAAGTAGATTTGTGATAAAATAGAATGGTATTATTGATATTTAGCCTTAAAAAACATACTAAAAAAGGAAATGGGAAGATTATTTCCGGACGGAGCAAAAAAGAAAATGGGAAGAATATTTTCGGACGGAGGGAGTAGTAGATTGAACAATGTACATTGATCACAAGAAAATCGTGCAACTCATTTGTCAAACTTAATTGACATTGATAACACGTTTTCTCGTGTAAATGATTGTCAACCGTAATTGACATTGATACCCTCCTTATGGATCGAAGTTCTAATTACTAAACTGTTATTGTGTAATTTTTTAGTTCTTAGCCACTGGGACTCACTCCATCCCTCAAAAATATCCTACATATATTGCTACAATCACCACTCCGTAGCACTACAACTATCGCCACGATCATTGTCATCTCCTCCACCACCAAAAACTAATTTCATTTGATTTCTTTCCAACATTTTTCAAACAGTTTTGTTGAAGGTTAAAACTCATTTGGTACTTTGCAATTTCAAGGTCAAACTCATTTATTCCAAAATTCGAGCATTAGTGTACGTAGAAATGAACAATGCTAGGTTCAGAAACAGAATGATCAGAGTCTTCACAAACTTATTATTTTCTGTTTAAATTCTCATTTTAAAATTGTTTTAGATTACTTATTTTTTTTTCATTGAAGTTCACAAATAGTAAATTTATTTGTGAAGTTTGTGACAACACATAGGCACACAAATGACTCAATAAATATGAATAACCATATTTACACGATATATCCCATAACATTTCATGGGTCATTAATATCCTGAATAATTAACTTGGTCAATAAAAATTAAAATAGGCCTAAACCATACTAATAAAAAAATCCACATTTTGAAGCCGTGTAGAATGATCGTGAGTAGAAACTTTGTCATGCTGGATATATTCAAAAACGACATGAAAATCTATATCAATTTACATCATACGTTCTAAGAACATTGAATTTGTCTTGTTATTCACAAGCTCCATGTATATATATACACATTTACACAAAGGCCCACATATGGCCTAATAGACATGACAAAACCTATTTACACAACATATCCACAAATAATGTACTTCCAAAATAACCCTTAACACATATGTTATGGGACGTAAGTAGGGGCTCGATCACCTCCCCCCACCCTCCTCATTACATCCCTCGCGCTATTGTTGGCCATATGCATATCTGTTACCATGACCTTGTTCCTTCTTATTTACACTCACGTGCTTATAAGACATCTCTGTATTATTTCGTCAAGTCCTAATCATAACACATCGTCCTAAACTCAAATTTTTTTCACCAAAAAAGCACCAACAAAATAGCCTCAATGTGAACTAAATAAAAAATAGTGCTCCCTGTTAGGACTGGAGAGAGATTGAGAGGTGAGTACATTTGAAATGTATGGGCACGTTGGAAATGAACCACAAAAAAAAAATTAAAGTCGTCTCTATTGCTATAAATGGGGATATGATGTGGGGGGTATTGTGGCCAATGGAATTACTTGCTTAGGAGTAAAGACACTGTTATATGGTAATTGTAATTAATCTTGAAATGAAGGGGCACGGCCGGAGCCGGTGACTTTTGCATCCTCCGAAATTTGGTCGTTTTTGCAAAACAAACACTTGTTTGCAATTAATGATTTTCACTAGCTAGCCTTTCCTTTTCCGGCGACGGCCCTTTTGGGGGGCGTTTGACCCCGTGAATTTACCACTCCAACCCATTCTCTCAATTGTCCACCTATCCAAATCAAATCTCAATCAAACCAAATCTTATAATCTCCATATCTAATTCAAAAGCTGGAATGCTCAGTTCATGGTATACTCTTATGGTTTGTTTGGATGATTAGAGAAAACGAGGGGAAAGAAAGTAATAAGAAAGAAAATGGTGAGAAAATAGAGAGAAAAAAAAAAGTAATGTTTCAATTAATAGAAAATAATAAGAAATGGTGAGAAAAGAGAAAAGTTGGCACTGAAAACTTTTCTCATCCTTCTTGATGAGAAAAGTCTTGACATAGATTGTTCCACATAATTTTTTTCTTTTCTTACTTTTTTCTCATTCATCCAAACATGAGAAATTGTGTTGGGATTTGCAATTTCTCGCCTTTTTTCTTTCTCACCATTTTCTCTCCAACCAAACAATGTGTTAATGTCGCCCTTAGAAAGACTACTTCGTGCCTGATTTGGACTCCTACAATTTCATCGCCGGGATTCAACTCCATGATTTATGGAATTGACATCCTCTCTTTAGAGCAATTGAGCTACCAATTTGAGCTCGAAATCATGGAGCGCGCTTTCAAAAATGTGGTACGATTGAAATAGTCCTATATGCGAGATAAAGCTAAATGTTCTACCAATGTAAAAAAATACATTAAATACGATGCTCTATCATCTGTCTCATTGCACTCAAATTCGATACGAGATAAGATTTTTACTTCAAAGTTAATTAAATTTGGAGAATGCAATTGAAGGGGGTAGAGCGGCGGGTTTAACCGTTTAGGGCGGGACATGATGCGGGGTTTATCCGAAGGGTTAGGAAGAATATGAATCGTCAATTTTACGAATTGAGAATCGTACGACCCTCGTGTTAGGGAGAAACCACCCCCCAGTATTCGATTTCATTGCACTCAAATCGGGTTAAACAAAAAGACAATTTTGTCCCTATTGTATTTGGCGTATTTGGAAATAGATGGACAAAGTTAGTCATTTAAGTTTATTTTCTCTCAGTCTAGACACTTTTCTCGCCTATAGGGAGGAGAATTCTTTTTCATTTGCCACAACTATTTTTTTCTCTCGTTTTCTATTTATCCAAACAATGAAAAATATTTATAAACTTATAGTCCGTATTTTCTTTTTCTTTTAATTTTTTTTCTTTTCAATTTCTCTCCATTCAAATAATAGATAAATTTGATATGAGCAATGCTAAGTTTACAAATAAAATATTCAAAAATTTACAAATGTACTTTTTATAATTTAAATTTTTATTTTAAAATTATTTTAGAAATTTGTAATAATTGTAATTGTGAATCAAACATTTCTCATTTCATATCTAAATGGTTTTATACTTTTGTCTCTACCATATCTTTAAGTCAATTACTCCGTAATTGAAACACGCCGTTGATGGATGGAAACATATGGCCCGATAAGCCGTAAAATAGAATTTCCGTTTAAAGAATGTCATAAATACTCCGTATAATGAAAAACCCCGTTTACACACAGTAAATAAATGGAAGAAAGGCTCATTAAATAAAAAGCGCGCTCCCCCCTTGTGTCCCACTCAACATTCTTTCCACTTCCCCACTTCCTGTCCCCACACCCGCCCCCACGTCCCCAACCCTTCTCTCTCTCTCCTCCCTTTGGGCCCCACTCCCAAAATTTCAAATTTTCTAAAAACAAAAAGAAAAAAATATCAATTCCCTTTTCCGTATTAAACCACACACAGATTTCTTCTCCATCCAGCAATCCTCTGTTTCTTTTCGAAAATATCCTCTCTTTTCCTCCGACGATGGCCGATAAAACAACTTCCGAGTTTTGGCTCCCGCCGGAGTTTCTCCCCGACGAGGACTTACTCATAGACCCGTACGCCTTCGAGAAACCCGTCAGTAGGACCCTCCCCCGCTCGAATCTCCTCTCCCCGTCTGCGCTCCCCCATGGCCGGAGCTTCTCCCCTGTCGCCTCTTCCGTTTTCTCCGGCGTGGAGGAGAGCGAAGAGGAGCTTCTCTCTTGGTTAACCAGTCGCTTCCGGCGGACCGCTTTGGAGGAAGAAGGGGACAAATCCCTGTGTATTCCCCGTCACTCGGAGGTGAGTTAGTTGTCTGGGTTTTTTTGGATGTATTGAAGCTTGAAATCTCCGTCTTTGTCTGATTCGTGTGTTTATTTGCAGAAGGGTGGGGTGTTATCGGGATCTCCACAGTCCACTCTGGCGAAGGTAGGTAGCTGGACCGGCCGGAGAACCGGTTCAATCAACGGTAGCCCGTATGGACCTTCTCAGGCTTCGTCTCCGACCACGCCTCCGCTGTGTGTCGAAAACGACGACGTGTGGGCTCTGATTTTCCGGGACGCCGTACAGGCTCGCCGCCCTAGATCGACGCCCGACGCATTGCTTTCCGATCTTCCTTCCATCCCTCCGGCGAACCTTGTGAAAAACAGCATTTCGGGTGCTCACGTCAACCCGGTAAGTCTTATCTCCCTACCTGCTTCCCCTGCTCTGTCTCTCTCTCATGTCTAATCTCCCCTCAACTTTTTCCTGTGCAGTTCCATCAACTCAGAGCGCTCCAAATGATGCAGCAACAGTGCTCTGAAATGTGGGGCCAGAAGATCGACGGCGGTTATCTAGGCGGACGAGACGTATTCGGGAATCGAGGCAACCGGGTCGGGTTCGGGATTGACCCGTTCGTTGAAACCCGGAATAGCGGAATCCCAGTCCCTGGCCAGACGGCTGCCTGGCCTGCTCTGCCTCCGCAGCGGCCCATCCAGTACGGCCGGCCGGATATGACCGCGGCGTTTCCCGGTGGTTATGTTGCCGGATTGAAACGCGAGTGTGCCGGCACCGGCGTCTTCATTCCCCGGAGATATGAACCGAATAACAATGTCAAAACTTCTGCTGATCCGCGCAAACCAACATGTAATTTCTTCTTCACATTTTCTGATTCTGCCCAAAATTTCTTACATTGTGAGTTCTTTAACTCAGCGAGTCACCACCGCCGAGTTTCGGCTCCCTCACTCGGGCCGGAGAAATCTGCATTTTTCCCTTTTCGGCTATGTTTGGAACAAAGTTTGACTGGGTTTTCCTTTTTCTTTTGCCGTTTTAACGTCCACTAGTGGCTCGACAAGTGTCACCACGTCCCTTAATGATTAATCATTGTCATCTTCAATTTCTGAGTCTTCTTTCTTAAGATTAACGCGTTAATTAATCCCACCATTTGTCTTTAATTACTCTTTTAAAGTTACAGGAGAAGTAATTATTGGGTTTTCTTTGTTTTTCAGCTAAGATTTCTAATGGCGTGAACAAGAGATCGGATGGATGCTACAATGGCGGATCAAGGGCTCAGATTCATCCTTCTCCCGGTGGCTTTTCCATCTCAGACTATGGTATTTTCTTCTTGTTTTACTTTTGTTTGGTCATTTGATATTGGCTTGGAATGACTAGTTTTGTACCCGCATTGGGATTTTGAAATGTGGTGAATTTGGAGATTTGCCCAAAAGAAATCTTTGAAAATTGCACAAATCCAAACATGAACACTAGTGTCATTAAAGGGTAAATGCACCAAATTGTGCAAAAGTTCAATGCCAAATACTAATTACAAACATTGTTCTCAAACTTGTGATTGAATTCGAAACGCGATTTTTTGAAATTGCAGAGGTACTAATAGCAAGAAGCAACGCGGCGTTGCTGGAGAAGCGGAGGAGGAGCATGGGCCCACAACCCGAGGTATCGATCAGCCCCGAGTTGAGGCTTCCGCCGGAATGGACATACTGATCAATGTGTGGTGTGGCTTTTGGTGTTAGGAATGAGAATTTAGGTGTTTCAAGTCTAATGGAGGGTTATAATTATGATAGTGATGACTGATTTGCAGCAGGTAGGGCATGGTTTGGGTAAAAACTTCAATAATAAGTCTTAGTCATCTATGAATAAACATAGGGTTTATTAATTTTCTCTAGTTTGAATAAATGGGGTTGTGAGAATAAGTGGTGGTGGTGGTGGTTAGAATGTGGGGTTTTTTTTGGCTGTTTTGTCATGGCATGGGGAGGACTGCAAATCTGTAGGGTGTGGTAGGGAATGGAGGAAGAAGATGAAGATGGTGTGGAATTGCAGTTTTACCCCTGCCCTTATTACTATTATTAATAAACACAATATAATAATGATGATGATGATGATTGTTATTGTAATAACGAGTGTTAGCCTTTGCTTAAACCGTAATTTGTTGTTTATGATTAGATTTGATGTCATCTTTTGTTGGATTTTCCCAACTTTAGATTGTGTAGCTGTCTAAAACTCTTTTTTTCGGTTTTTATTTATTGAAAAAAAAGCAGTCCCTTAGATCTTAATTTTCTTTTTGTTTTGCCTGTTTTATTAAATAATGATACTTTTTTTTATAAATTATGAGAAACATATAAGTTTAGTTATAATATAAATTTGATATAATTACGTTTAGTTTAAGATATAATTTTAATATATTAAATTTTTATATCATTTATTTATTTAGATTATGTTTAATGTGTGATAAAAAAGTTTCCTTTTTTCTAAAAGTGTCACGGAGTAATACTTTCAAATTTTCTTTTATACTCCGTATTATGGAGTACTATTTATGTCTCTGAGTATTTGTTTATTTTTGTTTTTTGGCCAAAATTTGTAAACTTTGACATTCAATTAAATAAATATTCCATATAATATTAGTTATTGGTACAAAAATAGTTTTGTTAGTTTTACAATCAAATATTTTTAAAGTGTTAATTTATCTAATTAATATGAAATATATATTTTATTTAATTATATGTAATGGTTGAAAATAATTGATCAAAAAAATTAAAACTGGATAAATATTTAGAGATGAAAATATTACAAAAGAAATTGGTTACGGGTCTGTTTGGACTTTGGGGTTGCTATATCCACTTTCACATTTGTTAAATTGAATTTTTTTTAATGTGAAATTAACACAAGTAGAGTGAATATAGTCAATTTATGAGTGTTTATAGCAACACCTTTAAAAATTTATCTAATGTTAACGTTTGATTTTTATATTTTCAAAATTAATGTGTAAATTGTTAATAACTAATCTAAAAACTCTGTAAATAACTAATCTATCAAAATTAACATGTATTATTAGTAAATAGTAATGTGCATTCTTCTTGTTTTTCCTTAACAAAAACTTCATGTTTAATTTGCCACAAAAAAATTGTTTCTTCCTTGCTTAAATGTGTGTTTTCATTTAATATTATATAAAATAAAATATCTGTCTCTTAATTTTTTTTGTTAATTTTTTGACATAGATTTTCAATAGTTATAATAATTTTTAAATAAAATAATTTCAAAAATTCAAGGTTTTGATTTGTATTACAAAAATTATACTCCGTAATTAAGTTTGGGCCCGAGGAAGTAATAGAGTAAAATTATACTCCTTTTATCTTGATTTAAATCGTCTATTTTAATTTACATTTTTTTGACTTAAGTTTCTTTCAAATAATTTTATATAGAAATAGTATAGAACTAAAAAAATACTTCGTAAAATTACATATTTAAAAAACTAAATTAAAAAATTTTCAAAATTAATAATGTTGACCTGATTATATTATTTTATAAAATTTGAAAAGAAAATAAATAAAATTTAACAATATAAATAGATAATATAAAATTTAATTTTGGACGAAGGCAATGCAAATCATCTTGAGAGATGACAATTTAAAAAGAAAGCTTTGAGGATAGATGAGTATTTTCAAAAAGTAAGAATAAAAGAAAATACTTGGTCCGTCCCTGAGTGTTTGTCTATTTTTGACTTTTGGAACTATTCATCTAAGTACTTTGACTCATCAAATTCTCTTAATGTGTAAGCCTAAAAATAGTCATGTGTGATCTTGTTTGATTCGTCTTAACATATAGATTATTAATATATAATTTTTTAATATACAAAATACTTCCTCTGTCCCCCATAGATCTTCCCATTTGCCCTTTTTATTTGTCCCACATAGATCTTCTCATTACCTTTTTTAATAATTAAAATATCACAACTACCCCCACTTACTTTATTTATTACACCTTTTCCACTTTATTTAATACACCCCACCCATTTTCATTAAGGGTATTTTGGTAAACTTTCACCTTTTTTCAACTCTCCTAAAAAACCGTGAAAAATCAAATTGAGAACATCTTACATGGACGGAGGGAGTACAAGATAAAATGAATTAAAGAAGTGCATTGGATGGTGTGCAAAAATGAAAGTGGACAAACACTCAGGGACGGAAGGAGTAAGAATGAGCATTCAAAAAATCAGAAGGGGTGGGGGTGGGGTATGGGTAGAGAGTAGGTAGTGGGGTGAGGATGTGGAGGTGGTGGTGGAATGGACGGTTGGGGTGAGGTGACGTCAGAGTTGGTTTATGAAATGGGGCCGCCGATTGTTTCGAAACGGTTCCCTAATTCCCAGGGCAGTTTCATCAATGTGTTTTTTACGGCTTTTCCAAGTGGAAGTGTGGGAGACATTTTCGGTCCTCGTGCTTTTTATTTTATTTTATTTTCATGCCTTTTCCATGAGTAATTTACCAACATATGTAACAAAAAAAATATCCATTCCTGGCAGTGTATAAGTCAGACACTTTTTTTTTGGCAGTGCAGGACGGATTTGATTACTCTGTTTCAACTTGAAAATTTTAAATGAAACGGAATAACCAAATCCGTTTCACTCTATTTAAAAAAAAACTTCAAATGGATTAGGGATATCCGTTTCAATTGAAATTAAAGCTAGTTACGGAGTAAAGTAATCCGTTTGCTCTCTTCTTCTTATCTCCTTTCTCTCTTTAGTTTTTATCTCCTTTTTTATTTAGTGTTTTTAGTTTTCTTTATGTTTTTTAGTGATCTTTATGTCTTTTAGTTTTTAATACATTGAATTTTTTTACTTTCTTTTTTCACTTTAACTTTTTCAACACATTTATTTTAAATTAAAAAAATATACTCTAAATTATACTCCCTCCACCCCAAAAAGATCTATCCATTTAATTTTTTGTGCATATCATAAAACAATTTTATCTCATCTCAAATGCCAAAAACAATATAAAACAACTTCTACCTGCAATAAAGGGTAAATATGGTAAATTTTAGAAATTTTAGATATGCATAAGAGTGTTTTATGAAATGTGTAAAAAATGAAACGGGTAAATCTTTTTAATATGTAATTTTTAAGGGATATCGTTGTTCTGTGCTACTATGATAAATTGGTCACACTTTTTTCTGAGAGGCAAACAAATGGATATGTTTGACTGCAATCTGGATATAATTTTCCTATGAATGGTGGAAACATATTAGAAAAAATAAAGTAAATAGATATGTTATTAATTTAAGTTATAATATGGACTATCGACTACGGAGACATCACAACAAGGAATAGATATGTTATTTATTTCATTTATGTCTGAGTTTATGTATTATTAATTTCACAAAATGAACTTCTCCCCTGGCTTGAGTGGTAGTAAGCCCACTCCCCAGGATTCATGGGGAAGTTCACTCAGGTTCGAGCCCCAGCGAAGGCAGCAGCATTGGCTCTTTGTGCGTCATTAGCTTGAGAATAGTATGAACAGATACTACCTTGTAATAGAGTCAATAGCATTCAAAAAAAAAAAATTCACAAAATAAATTTTTCATGGATTGTGTTTTGTAATCTTCATTTTTGGAATAAATTTTATGTATTCTAGCAATAAATTTACACCTTGGTTCCCATGAAATTGGGAACCAATGTCATGGCATGACCCCGGGGCGCTCCGGTGCCCCGTTCGTAAAATTGACGGTTCCTAGCCCTACCCCCCGGCAAACCGCCCCACCCCGCCCCGCCTCGAACAAACCACTCCACCCCGCCCCGCCTCGACTTGTGGGGTGCAATTGGAGGGGGTGCGGGGGTTTGTTCGAGGCGGGGCGGGGTAGGGGGTTTGCCGGGGGGTTAGAGGGGTAACAACCGTCAATTTTATGAACGGGGCACCGGAGCACTTCCGGATCATCCCGTGATATTGGTTTCCAATGTCATGGGAACCTTCCCCATAAATTTATTATATTTCTTCTTCTTCTTTTACTTATGTTGTATAAAGTTCACTTAAAGTCAATAAACAGTAGTTTTATTTTTAAATTATATTATACATTATATTTTAGATTAAAGAAGTGTATTGGATAATGTGTAAAAATGAAATTGGACAAAAATTGAGGATAGATGGAGTATAATTTATTTATAAGAGACAAAAATTACTTGAACAAAAAAATTTTAAGCTAATAAAAATTAGAACAAAAAAGTGAAAGGAAGTAGTGGAATGAATTAGCCAAACAAAAAAATGCAATTGTGGAACCGAGAAGCAAAACAAGTAAAGCAACAAAAAATAAACACTTGAACGGATTAACCAAATAGGTTTGGCAATTAAATCAGAAAAACAAAATAAGCTACTCCGTTTGAATAAATAATAAACCAACAAAACGGATTAGCCTACTCCGGGTGGTTTTATTTGGGAAATGACAAAATAAATCTGCATATAAAGGAATGCATTACACTTCTTTTACATAAACAGGGAAATCACCCTTTTCCCATGCCATTATTATTATTATTGTTACTATTATTATTATTATTATTATTAATTTCATTATTATTATTATTATTATTATTATTATTATTATTATTATTATTATTGCCAAACATAAATCTCGGCAGAGCAAAAAATAAGAGAACCGTGAGCCCATGAGAAATTCATCTAAAAAATCTATTAATTGGTAATTTATTATTTTTGCTACAAAAACAAATGTATCACTCCATTATCAAAATCATCCAAATATTTGATTATTTGTATTTTGTCATTCATTAATTGATAAAATTATATTTTCTTCTCGTCATTTGTTTTGTAGAATTTTTCGCAAAGTTTTCAATTGTGTAATTTTTTTAATTGAGTTCAAAAAAATATAAAATTTCATTTTGCGTAATGTAGCATACCTTTTTAGACAAATGAAGACTTTGTTTAGGAACAACATTTTTTATTGTCGTTAGTATTAACGCTAAATGTTATCATCAGATAACCTTTTCAAAATGTTAACACTAATTTCTAAAGCTTGTAATGCTACACAGGCCCGATTTTTTTATTCGATTAATCAATAAAAAAAGACAGTTTGTGAACTATTTAGTTCACCATATGAATTAATTGAGTTAACGAATCTTCTAAACGAGTAATAAACAAAATTTTAATAGAATTGAGATTGTTTTTGCAAGATAAATTTGCTTTTATTTATATATGCAAGCATTTAACCCATATGTTTTTTGCAGTATCCGTAACATGCTCGTTATGTTAAATCATTATTAAAATAATAAAACTAAAAGAAAATTAGAATATACGAATATATTTGATAACGGTTCATCCAAAACCCGCCAAATTGAAAATTTGTTATCAAAAGTAATTAAGAAATAATTATGAAAAAAATTAGAAATAAAAAAATTATTCGTTCATGGACCAAATATGATGTATCAAATCGACGCGGAGGGGATGAATCGTGTCTGGCCATCTCCGCTTTCACTAATTAAATCATGATTGTAAATCTTCTAAACACATTCGTTTTAAATTTCAAAAATCATCTCACTTCTCTAGGTTTCAAAATAATATCTTATTATATCCTCAAGCTCAACAAATATCGGCCCTAAATTAAAAAGATTTAAAAAAGGAAATTGAGATAAATATTTGGAAACAAAGAAAATAATTAACTTACTCTATCCATACTTTAAAAAAACAACACACTTTCATCATTAATGTGTCTCAAAATGAAATTTCATTTTTTGAACCTATTTGAGAATAGCGTTAGCATTTTGAAAAAGATATCTACAGACAGTGTTTTGCGTTAACATTTTCAAAGTAATCTGCACTTTTAAAATTTTATCTTTATTTATGTGAGAAAACCTCGGTATATATGGTCATCACTATATTTTCAAATCAAATTCCATTTATACACTTTCGTTAAAAATGTTTTTTAATTTGAAATATAGAAGCCAAAAAAGTGCCGCAGACTGGGCCGCCCAGTAGTTAATTGGTACGGGTATGGCATACTTTCGCAAGCATACGTTTGGGCCTTGTAAGGCATGGGCTTGGAAATTGTAGCAAGTACTGGAACAGTGTAGAACATAGAAGAAGAACCTGGAAGTCTGGAACCTTCATCGCCTTCCAATTCCGCTTTGTATAAATACTTTGCCTCGTCACTCTCCATTCTCCTCATCCATAGAACAATCCAATCCCCAAATCTCATCTGTATTCCAATCGATCGCTCTCGTTTCTGTTTTTGAATTCAAAAAATGTCTCTGATTCCGAGTTTCTTCGAGGGTCGCCGGAGCAACGTCTTCGATCCCTTCTCCATGGACCTGTGGGATCCGATCTTCTCCAACACGCTGGCCAATTTCGCCGGGGAATCCGCTCGGGAGACGTCTGCATTCGCGAACGCCCGCATAGACTGGAAGGAGACGCCGGAGGCGCACGTGTTCAAGGCGGACGTGCCGGGGCTGAAGAAGGAGGAGGTGAAGGTGGAGGTGGAGGAAGGTAGGGTGCTGCAGATCAGCGGGGAGAGGAGCAAGGACAAGGAGGAGAAGAGCGACACTTGGCACCGCGTGGAGAGGAGCAGCGGGAGATTCCTGAGGCGGTTCAGGCTGCCGGAGAATGCCAGGGTTGACCAGGTCAAGGCTGCGATGGAGAACGGCGTGCTCACCGTCACCGTCCCCAAGGTCGAGCAGAAGAAGCCCGATGTGAAGAACATTCAGATCTCCGGCTAGACTTCCGGCCAGATTCCAAAAATAGCCGCTTGTTTTTGTTTTGTTTGGTCTTTTGAATAAAAATGTGTGAAGTGTGTCGTCGTCCTCGTCCTTTCTCTTGCTGCAATCGCCAAGCGTTATGAGCTATGACGGTTTCTCTGTAATTTTCTGCCATGGTAATATATGAAATCGTTTGAGCTCTTTTGAAATTCCCCTGTTCTCTGAGAATGAGTCAATTCAATTGTCATTTACTATTTTGATTTTGATTGATCACAAGAGAAGATGATCTGAATCGAGTGGAGATGAAATCCACAAAGATTTGACTGAATAATTTGAAACAAAAATTATTGGCGCAGAATTGCAAAGGACACAATTTCATAATAAAAATTGGACTTTATTGGATTTCTTAAATTTTCATTACTTATTGTTTTTTTTTTTTCAATTTTCATTCATTCTTCTCTGTTATTCAAATCAGCGGGGGGCAAGAAAAAGTCCACAGAGAGCCCCTTAACGTTAAAGTCCACTTCCTCGATGCTCCACACCTCTTCCATCGCCGTCACGGCGCGGCGACCTCTCGAGTTCCCGCCGATCCGGCACAGGGAAACCACAGTTCTTCCGCCGTAAGCGAAGTTGACTCCGTTAAAAGGACGGTAGTCACCGATCGTCGACGTCATGCTCGTCTCCCAGGCGACGTCATCGTTTCCCGGCGACCTGATTCTCATGGTCTGGGTGTCCCGGAGCCGGACGAGCAGGCCGGTTCTTTGACTGAAATACCCCCGGACCGTGTGGTTGACTATCTCCAGCTTATGAGTACTCCTCGCCTTCAGAACGGCGTCCTCTGTTTCAATCTTCAACACAAAGCAGTCCTCTCCGTTCGCGGAGGTCTCGCCGGAGCAGGTGGATTTGGAAAACAGAGCCGCCGTCGACATGGGGTTCAACCCCTGTAATGTGCGACGGAGAGGCCGGGGCGGGCCGCGGGAAGCGTGGGATCTGTCCCACGGCGTTTGCCGCCACACCACCTTCCCGTCGCTGCCGGCGGCGATTTTGCAGCCGGAGACCAGCATCTCCAGGCTCCAAAGATTCGGCCTTTTCTCCCACACCACGAAGCCGCCGATCCCTCCGTCATTCTTGACCCTCGTCTTTCTCAACCTCTTCTCCGAACCGGCGGCATCTTCCCCCTCACAGAATGTGTACTCTGCCGCCGCCATCTTGACCTTACCCATAGCGTAGATACTAGCAATGGAGTTCAGAGCATCGTCTCCTCCGGCCGCGGCAATGTACTGTTGCACTATATACTGAGCCATTGACATCTCCTGCAAAAAAAAACATCTTTAATTAGGTAAATTAAAACCTGTTTTTTTGGGAGACGAAGGAAAACCGGCCGAGTGCTTACAAAGGGATAAACATTGATGATCTTGGTGGCGGAGCGGGGGGAGAAGATTGGATGAGAGATGAGAGGAGCGGCAATGACGCCGAGCAGGAGCTGGATTTCATCGCCGGAATCAGAAGCTTTTTCGCCGGAAATAATGGAGTTCACATTCTTGTGATTAGTAGGCAAGGATGAGTAGAAAATTTGTTCCGGCGGAATGGGCATTTCAAACACGGTGTAAAGCCCTTCTTCTTCCGGCGTCTCCCACCTTGGCCACAACCTCCTCATCATTATCTTCTTGATCGTCCTCTTCCAAAAGAGGATCAAAAGGTTATTATAGGTATTATGTGGGGCTAATTGATTGAAAATGATTAACGTGGGGGGAATGGATAGGGTAACTACCCTACACAGTTCAGAGTATATAATGTACTCCTCCTCCGTCCCAAATTATAATGCCTGTTCACTATTCACAGGGTCAAACTTCATTCACTTTCTTTCTCTATTTTCATTAGCAATTTGATAAAATAAAATATTGTTGTCACTACTAGTTTTGTAGATCTTTTGATGTAGTATTTTGATATGTAATTTTTATTTTTTAACTCTATATCATTTGTCATATAAAATGATTTGAAAATAACTTCAGTCAAACATCGTAAATCGAAACATGCGTTATAAAATGGGACGGAGGGAGTAAGAACTAAGAAGTGTTTTGTATGGTATAAACTTTGTATTTGCCTATTTGGGTTGTTGCTCCAAGACTTCTACTCCCTCCGTCCCTGAGTATTTGTCCACTTTCATTTTCAAATACCATCCAATCTATTTCTTTAATCCATTTTATCTTGTAATTTGTATATTAAAAAATTATAAAAAATTATATATTAATAATCTATATGTTAAGACGAATAAAACAAGATCACACATGACTATTTTTAGGCTTACACATTGAGAGAATTTGATGAGTCAAAGTGCTTAGATAAACAATTCCAAAACTCAAAAGTAGACAAACACTCAAGGACGGACCAAATATGTACTATGTAGTGGCCCATACTCACTCTCCCATTTAAGTTTCGTAGTAGAATTCTCTATCAAGGATACACATACCTTATTAAATTTTTGTGTCAAATGTCAAAAACTGAAATAAGCAATAGGGACTAGGGAGTATAAATTGGTATGGAGGGGTTAAGTTAGAGATGTACATTCCTTTTTAAAAATGACAAAGGGTGAACCACATGCTCGTAAAGGATAATGCTACTTGTACCCCAAGAACTTGTACCCCATTTTGTATACTGCAGGGATGCACCAACATTTTATGTTAGTGTAATGCTAATTTTTGTTAACGTACCAACATTTTGTGTCAATGTAAATTTTTATTAATACACTAACACTTTGTGTCAGTGTGAACAATTAAAATATTAGTGCATATCTTTGGTATACAAATGAGTTACAAATTTTGGCAAACATGTAGCATGCTCCTAATTTAAATAAGAGGAAGAAAATAATCTACTTTTCAAGTACTACGTATTAAATATTTTATGCTCTTTTTAAAGTTGTTTTGGTTGGACAAAGAAAGATCCCTAGAGAAAAAAAAATATCATTACAAAAGATCTTTTCTAGAGAAGTGGTATTTTTTTCTCTTATGGGTCTTATAATTTCTGAAGTTATCCTCAAAAAAATCTTGAAGTCAAATGAGCACTTTCCAATTTTAATACACCCAAATTTTATGTGTAATCAACCCAAGTTTGATTGAAGGCATTAATTAGCATGTATTGACAGGAATAAGATAGCCTGTAAACTAGTGCAGGCCCAATAAAAATATAAATGAGCCATTAACTTACCATTCGTAAGAGACTTAATAGTGAACAATCTAAGTAAAAAGATTATACTACCTCCGTCCTACTCTTTTTTTTCCACTTTTGACTTTTAAAACTGTTCATCTAAACACTTTGACTTATCAAATTCTCTTAATGTTTAAGCCAAAATATAGTCGTGTGATCTTGTTTGATTTGTCTTAACATATAGACTATTAATATATAATTTCTATAATTTTTTAATATACAAATTACAAGATAAAATGAATTAAAAAAGTGCATTGGATGGTGTGCCAAAAGGTAAGTGGACAAAGAGAGTGGGACAGAGAGAGTATATAAAGAGGCTTTGATCTGTAACATCTAAAATGGCTAGGAGACGACATATATAGCCCAATTTGGTTTGTATAAATTCATAATATTCTTTTTTGTTGAAACAAATGCACAATTTCATTCAAACTAACCAAGTAAGTTTACAATATTGTAAATCACCACCTAACCATATGGCATTAACCTACCCAAACTAATAAGTGAATTTAACCCAATTCAACATCTCCTCTCCTTGTCAATTCTTCTTGGCATGGTACCATTTATTCCTTGCCTTCCATATAGTATAACAAACTATTGCATATGCGCTTATATCTTGTTGTCTTCTCTTCGTAGCCAACCTCGTCAGATTTTGTCTAATGTCCTTCACCCCATCACCCTCAATCTTATATATCAGCCATGTAGAAATTCTATCAATAAGGATCTAAGTAACTGGACAGTGATTTCCAGTTACCTCAATGTAGGAAGACGAAATTGAAAAGTAATACTCCTTTCGCCCCGGAGTATTCGTCTACTTTTGACTTTTGGAACTGTTCATCTAAGTACTTTCACTTATCAAATTCTCTCAAAGTATAAGCCTAAATATAGTCATGTGTGATCTTATTTGATTTGTATTAACATATACTTGGTCCGTTCCTGAGTGTTTGTCCACTTTTGACTTTTGGAACTGTTCATCTAAACACTTTGACTCATCAAATTCTCTCAATATGTAAGCCAAAAAGTAGTCATGTGTGATCTTGTTTGATTCGTCTTAACATATAGATTATTAATATATAATTTTTATAATTTTTTAATATACAAATTACAAGATAAAATGGATTAAAGAAGTGCATTGGATAGTGTGCACAAATGAAAGTGGACAAATACTCAGGGACGGAGGGAGTAGATTATTAATATATAATTTCTATAATTTTTTAATATACAAATTACAAGATAAAATAGATTAAAGAAGTGTATTGGATGGTGTGTAAAAATGATGGTGGACAAATACTCTGGGACGGAGGTAGTATTAAAATTATACATTTCTTAAATCCCGTATTTTTTTAAGGTGAAAAGGTTTTAAGAGATGATTAAAGTATTGTAACTGGATAGTGAAAATAGATAAAAATAATGAATAAGAAAACATTTCCGAATAGATACAATTAAGAAATTTTAGTTTTAATTTTAGTTTTAATTACTTTCCTTGTCCTTGGAGTTCTATTTAAGTTGCGCTAGAGATGAAGTTAAATATGGATTATTATTATTATTATTATTATTATTATTGTTATTATTATTATTGTTATCATTATTATTATTATTATTATTACTATCTGTCTCTAAAGGATTATTACTGTTTAACTTTTTTAAGTAAATTCTAACATTTTTTGATTGTAAATTATTAAGAAAAGTATTTTTAGTTTTAATTTAGGTAAATTCTAACATTTTTTTACTGTAAATTTTAATCTTACCTTATTCTAACAGGTTTACCAATCGACATGCTGATTCTTTGACCAAATGATGAATAAGATCAGCAAGCGACGAACTCCAGCTCATGGAACTTGAACGATAAGCTTCCTTCAAGAATGATTCAAGAACTCAAGCAATCAGTGTCGTCAGTGCACTTGGCCAAGAAAGACTTGAAGTGCTTCACTAAATTATGTGGCAATTTTGACTACAAGATGTCCGATGGGGTCTTAGCTCGGTGCCTTGGCGTTGAAGAAGCAGGTAGTTTTCCAGCTGGGTGGATTGCTTTGAATAGTTATGTCGCTAAAGCCCTTGCGATTCGACTTTCCTTCTTTGATGGAATCCTTCATATACAATTATTAGACCGGACCCAAATGGGCTGCCTACGTAGCTCTCAGAGGTACGAAGTCGCTAGAGAATTCGTACCTCGAAGAAGAATCTTCGAGTGACTTGTCAGAGGTACCTGTCTCCTTCTCTCCATCCAAAGAGTGTTAGTTTCTCTCATAAAGCAGCCCCTAAAGATTTCGAGGCAATGGATTTTGCCGGTCGTAAAATAATGGTCCACGTCATCGGACTTATCTAGGTGAAAGAGAAGTCTTTCTTCAGACGAGCCGATATTGTCATCGGCTTCAATCTCAACAGCTATGAAGTAATAGTAAATGAGAATTCCATGATACATTTTCAGAGAACAGGGGAATTTCAAAAGAGCTCAAACGATTTTATATATTACTATCGCAGAAAGTTACAGAGAAGCACGAGAAAGGACGAGGACGACGACACACTTCACACATTTTTATTCAAAAGACCAAAACAAAACAAAAACAAGCGGCTATTTTTGGGATCTGGCCGGAATTCTAGCCGGAGATCTGAATGTTCTTCACTTCAGGCTTCTTCTGCTCGACCTTGGGGACGGTGACGGTGAGCACGCCGTTCTCCATGGCAGCCTTGACCTGATCAACCATGGCATTCTCCGGCAGCCTGAACCGCCTCAGGAATCTGCCGCTGCTCCTCTCGACGCGGTGCCAAGTGTCGTTCTTCTCCTCCTTGTCCTTGCTCCTCTCCCCGCTGATCTGCAGCACCCTGCCTTCCTCCACCTCCACCTTCACCTCCTCCTTCTTCAGCCCCGGCACGTCCGCCTTGAACACGTGCGCCTCCGGCGTCTCCTTCCAGTCAATGCGGGCGTTGGCGAATGCAGACGTCTCCCGAGCAGATTCGCCGGTGAAATTGGCCAGCGTGTTGGAGAAGATCGGATCCCAGAGGTCCATTGAGAAGGGATCGAAGACGTTGCTCCGGCGACCCTCGAAGAAACTCGGAATCAGAGACATGTTTTCACGGTGATTCGGAACGGCGGAGAATTGAAATTAAGCGATTGATTAGAATGCAGATGAGATTTTGAAGATTCGATTGTTCTGTAGATGGGGAAAATGGAGATGGAGAAGGTAAGAATTTATAGTCGGAAATGGAAGGCGACGGAAGAAGGAGGAGGAGGAGGGCGGTGGTGTGTTCATGAATATATCTTCCAGATCCTTCTTCTATCTTCTACACTCTTCCACCACTTGCTTCATTCTTCGCCTATGAACCGTACCAATATTGGGCCACATATTCTCTTGGGCCATAAGTTAACCAATTCACTACTTGGCGGCTTCTTCTCTTCTCTTCACTATTGAATTAGTTGTTTCGACGAACTTTGTATGTTAGCTTTTAAGGAGAAAAAAATTTGGACAACTCTATTTTTTTTGTTAGCTATTTGTAAGTGAATCATGCATAAGGACATTTTTTGAACTAGATAATTAATCAGTTTTTAAACTAAAGTGTCAAACATTTTTTGAACTAGATAAATAATCATAAAAAGTATTTTAACTTTACATAGAAAATTTATTCGAAAAAAATTATATATATACATAGATGAAAAAAATAACTGCATAGTGAGCAAAGCACATAAAAAATTGCATAGTGAAAAAATTGTATGGATAAAATTGTAAAGTAAAAACAAATTGTGGAGTAAAGATGCAGTCAGGAAAGAATTGAAAAGTGAAAGCAAAGTGATATTATCTCAAATTGCTATAAGGGAAATTATCACAAATGGCTAATACATACATACCTTGTTGCTGATGGAAATTTTAGCAAAATGAAAGCAAAGTGAATCGCAGATGAAGAAAAATCCTATGGAGTAAAATGTAGATGGAGATGACCGTAAAAAAGAAGGGTGAGAGAGGGAAAAATGTGTGAACGACTATCTAAATGCTGTTAGGGTTGACGTTTCAATTTTTGAATGTTCGGTTCTAAAGGCTAATTCTAGATGCCATTATCCAAAAAAAAATTATCTTAAATAATCTCACATTTTTACATTTTTCCAAAAAATATTTCTACTTTTAATTGTCACCGGAAGTAATCCGCCTACAAATATACTCCTTGGCCGCTAAGACTTGTTCTCTTCACCATATCCGATTAATTCTTATATTATTAAAATAAGTTTTAAGCTTTTTTCTAGAAGAGTAACTTTTATTCGGGTTGACATGGTCAATATCCATTATTTAGATTTTATATCCATGTTCAAATAATATTATTTTAGAAATCATACTCTTTTAGTGTATTTGTCTATTTGTAATATACTAACAAAAATATGAATAATGAAAAAAGTGTTCATTATATCCCTAATTTTACTTCTGAATGTGAGAGAGTGAGAGTTGGAGTATTAGAAGATGACAATTAAATGGACAAACAAGCCATTTCAAAAGAAAAAGTCAATATCATTTAATTTCTTTTCTTAAATAAAATAAAAAAATTGAACAAACAGGTTAATGGGACAGAGAGAAAACTTCATCCATCCAACTTATTTATCCATTTTTTTCAATGGGACATTTATAATTAGTCATCAAATTCCTATATTTTTTAAAATAAAATTACTTAAATCACCCATTGATGTATCATGCATGTTATAACAAAGCAGTGACTGGTTTTATCATACTAATTACCAGTTTTTATAACTTGAGTTATTATTTTTGAAATGTGGACAATTAAATTAGAGATGATATATTCTAGGAACAACATTGAATAATTGATTTTAAGTTACAAGGAAATGCTCTTTTACATTGATTCAACGTGCACACACACAACATAACATCATTACAACATGGAATATTACAAATTTGAGGAAGATCTGGTGCTAGCTAGTTTGAACAACATTATAATAATCATCAATTCTTCTGCATGCACCATAACCACATGTTCCATTTTTTTCCATCAAGGGATCTTTATAATCATGAGGGTACATTGAAGTGAAAGAGCCAAGATATGACAAAGGCAAACACCATACAAGCCAGCAAGAAGTTCAGAAAACGGTGACCTTGCCAGAAGTCCCGGGACTCGGTCGTGGGTCCCGGCAGTTCTGTGGTCACCGCAGCTGTACTTGCGTCGCTCGACTGCTCCAAGTGCTCCGGATCGTGCTCGGCATCATTTATGTCGACCACGCTTTGCGCTATCGATCCACATATCTCGCAAGTCCTGAGAAGTTTCTAGATCATTAAACTTTTTGAAAAGGTAACATTCCAAGCTCATGATTGCAAGTAATGAATAAAATAACTATGGGGAATAAAATAATTATGGGGAATAAAATAAGTATGGGGAATAAAATGAGTATGGTTGCAAGCAATGAAGGGGCTCCAAGCCTTATGTCTTTCACTTGGACTATTTTCATGAAAAAGAGACATTATATTTAGAAATGAATTGAAAAGAAGCCACCTAAATGAACCTAAATTCATGACATTGAGAATATAAAATATTCGGATTCGACCAAACGCGGCCCTAATTCCGAGACAACGTTTCTTGCTATACCACTTTGTACTAAGGGTGTTCACCATTTGGTCCATACCGAACCATAGGTTCGTCATTGGTCTGGTCTCAAACCAATGAAGAACTCTACTTGGTATGAATGCAATATGAAAGTGATGGTCAGTATTGGTAATTTTTCAGGTATGGTTTGGCAATCATAAGACCAAAAATTTGTGTTTAGAAACACATAGAGACTTTTATGGGCATTGCAAAGTCAACCCCATAGTTAGAAAAAAGGATGAGTAAGAGGTTCTTCTTCCAACTAATACATTTGTATTTTTTCCAACTTATATCCACTTTAGTATCCATTTACCCAACCAAACACTTGTTTGTTCAACACATCAACATCATCCATTTTCCAAAGCATTCTTATAAAGATTTTCCACTATCCAATTCCCACCCAATCTGTCCCCATTAACTCAATCATTACCAGCCACCAATGAACTATAGGGATATAACAGAAGCTAAAAATGAAAATAAACTAAAACCAAAACAAACCCAAGAAACCCAACAATTGTTGCTTTTACTACTTTTGAGCTTCTTCTTCTTCATAAGTCAGTTTTGAGGAGTAAATTGAGTGAAAATAAGTTGAAATTTGTCTCTAGTTTGTGGTCCAAGGAATGTTTTATATTCTAATACGTTTCCTGTCTTGCCTGTAGATGCGACTCATTTGCCCTCAAACATGTGAAGACAAGTATCTTCTGAAAGCGGATGGTAATGAGATTTGAACTTGTAAGCTCTAAATCAAAGGCATATCATGTCATTAGAGTATATAAAACCTTTCCGGGGCCAAAGATTTAGAACCAACCTCAATTTTTAAAAAGTAGTTTTCAAGTCCAACTTGAGCTTTTGATGGGGTTGGTTCCTTTGACACATGTGAACTAACCAATTTATCAACAAAAAAAAACTCAACATTGTATTTGGAGGCAAACAAAAGTTTAATACTTAAAAAAATTGATTTATTTTTTGTTTGTGAAGCCAAGTATTCCATGATATTTTGAAGGGGATACATCAACAAGTAATATGCTGCAAACTCTCCAATTATAGACAAGAAACTCAAACCTCAAGATTTTTCTTGATATTTTGATTTAAAATTGAAAAATAAAATTTATTCACCTCTGTATTTAAAGTACATAACCAAAAACTTCATACTACAAAGTATATTTTTTTTGAAGGAAAAAATGGGCAAGGAATAAATTAAATTATAAGAGCAATTAGTAAAGAAAGAAAAAAATAAATAAATATAGGGATTTAAGTTAAAGGCAAAACTCACTTATTTCCTCTAATTTTGAACCAAGCCTCAGCACAGTGTTTATGAGCAACAGCCAAATCATCTTTGCAAGAACAGCCCAGTTCAATGGGCAAGCCAGAGTCCGGATTCTCTGCATCCAACCCCAAATGGCATATCCTGCAATCCCTCACAGGTTTCCCTAAATGCCCTTCATTTTCCGGGTCCCCACTTTCCAGATCCACCTCCACCAGGCACTCCGACGCCGCCGAAGATCTCCTTCTCTTTTCCGCCGCCACGCCGACGCAGAGTTCCTCTCCGGAAGACCGGCCGCCATCACCGCCTGTCTCCAAATCGAGGTTGGACTTGCATAAAGATTGCATTTTGAGGGAGACCCAGATTTCGAATCCGCATCAAAATGCAGATTCTCATGCCCCTCCGGCGAAGGACGGTGGGAGAGAACTGGAATTATATTGTGGGGTGTTCTTCTTCTTCTCTCTCTCTCTTCTCTCTGATATGATATATGGAAGTGTTATGTAAGAAAGAATCTGATGATGTGTCCCCTTGCTGAAACAGACTTCTTCTCTCTCCGCTGTAAAAAACAAAATCTACAGCAGTATAGCAATAGTAGTAGGACTGGAGCTAAATCTTTCAGCTTCTTTTTAATCTGCTCGTACAGCAATAGGATTGCAGGATTTGCAGGTAAGGTAATGTCCCTTGGTTGGAGTAAGTTGATGGGGCCTACCTTGGTTGGTCGAGAGAGAGTGGTACAAAGGTAATTTTGTGTTCACAATAAACAATGATCATGTATCTGAGAATCTAATATGTAACGATCTCGAAATTATTACTTGATTTATCTTCTCACAACCTACTATCCGGTTTAGTATTGAGAGACCCTAGCGATTGGAGATTAACTTTTTTGTTGTGGTAGCAAATAAGTCACCCCTTGTACCCAAATGTTGCAAAGTGTTTAAGGGCCTGTTTGTTTCGGCCTCTTAATAGTTCAGATGTCTGAATGGTTCAGCACTTAATGGTTCAGACTGTTTATTTCAGCCTCTTAATGATTCAGATGTCTGAATGGTTAAGAGATTTGCCTCTGAATGGTTAAGTATTATACAGAGTCTGAATGGTTAAGACCTCTTATCTGAATTGATCAGACATTTGCCTCTGAATAGTTAAGCAATATACTAGCTCTTAATGGTTCAGACCTCTTACTGGTTCAGCACTTAATGGTTCAGACCTCTTACTGGTTCAGCACTTA